TGGGAGTCACTGCGTTGGCTTAAAAATGGTTGGGTGGATGAAAACCTGATCTTCCTTTGGAAAGTTCAACTGGAATAAGTTATAAACCCATGAGATTTCCTCATTTTTCTCATTTTCTGATTTTCAGGGCATTAAAAGCAGACAGGACTCTGTAGTGGGAGTCACCGCATTAAATTAAATTGGTCGGATGGATGAAAACCTAATTTTCTTTTGGAAAGGGCAGTTGGACTTACTTAAGAACCAATGAGATTTCCTCATTACCTCCGCCAAGGAGGTTATGTTTTCGGCAGCGTTGGTTTGTTTGTTTGATTGACCTGAAATTTTCACTGCCTACCATGGCAGCACCACGGCGATGCATGAGCACCTGAAACACCGACACCCCGGAAATAGGTGTTTATGAATAAAGAAGATAGTGATTAATTGTGATTATCGGACAACTAGTCGATAGCGGCACTAATTTTCACCAGAGGTGCGTCTCAGCCCCAGGAGGATCCCATTACATTTTGGTGGTGATCCGGACAAAATTCTGGATACTGTGATCCAGAAGTGGTTAGCACTGTCTTACAACCAGAAGGTCCTGGGTTCGAATCTGGGTCAGGGCATTTCTTGTTTTAGAAACATTCTGAACAGTGAACATACCAGTTTAAACACAAATAAAAGTTAATAAAAGACACGTAACAGTAAAAGTTTTGCTGTGAATCACAATATAAGGGGAGACATGAGCTGCTTGGTGGAAGTCTGCGCTCTCCGAGTGATTTTCTAGTTTTTCTTCTTTACTGGTTGTCAGGCCGTTCTAAACAGTTGAAACGTTTCGCCTTATGCGACTATTTCCACTAATTCCAACTAATTCCAGTTGTCCTCTCAACGAAGAATTAGAAATCTGACGTTGTATCTTCAGTTTTAAACATTATCTACAGGTATGTAGGAGCAACATCTACATGACTTTTTCAGTAATTAAAACAGCATGGCTCTGTAGTAGAAGAGTCCTGCTGAGACTCTGACCCACCAAAACCAGGACTGAAGAGACCCTGAACCGTCGCTAAAGTCCGGATGAGTAAATTTCTCGTTTCTCGTTCATCAATCATTCCTCATCGGAAACAGAGAGTTGGTTTTGTCCGCTGTCTGATGTTCTGAAAATAAAAATGATGATTTCTCTGTCACCCGCTGACGTTTATTGAGGACAGGAAAAAAAAAAATCAAATCAGGAAACAGAGACGTGTGATCTTTAACGGACTGATGGTCGGCTTAATAGAAAGGCACGCGTGTCTGCGGAGATGACAGGCTGCCTCCAAAATGGATTTAGAGAGACATGACGGGGAATTATTGACTTTTGTTGTGTTTTACAGCGAGTCAGAAAAAACTGATGACAGCTGACGGCGTGTGTGTGTGCGCGCACGTGTGTGTGTGTGTGTGTGTGTGTGTGAGGATAAGTGGATGAAGGAGCTGGACTTGAAAGAGTGTGTGACGGCGCTTTCAACTACAATGGGAAGTAAAATTGGGCGAATTTGAGTAACAAAATTACGGCGGTTTGTAAGACGGCGAGGTTTGTGATTTATTTTAGGACAGCGGCTGTTTTTGAATCGTCCATCTTTATACTCCTGCCAACCGCAGTATTCAGTGGATACTTCAGACTGAGTACTGGGTTTGATAGTAGTATGCAGTATGACTGTAAGTTGGCCGTAGTATGGTTGGTTTGGTTTAACTGGTTTTCCAGAAAGTCCATCATACTCTGGTAAATTACAACGACACTACAGAGTTGTCCGTTTATTTACGCACTGAAAAAATGTTTAATGTTTTTTAATTTGATTTTTTTCTGGATTTTTTTAGCCAAATATCATCAAAACGTGTTCTGTCTCTGCACAGACTCGTCGATCTGGCGGTGTTTGATTCTCATCACGGCGCAAAGTCATGTTGTCGGTTATGTTGTCCTCGTTTCGCTTAAATGAAAGAAGTTACAATCCTCGCTAACCGTGTTAACTGATGGCGTCTGCGTGGCGTGGTCTTATTTCCCTTTAATAGTTTGACAACTCCAGTAAAAACCCTCGAATCCAAACTCCTGTCAGTTTATATCAGATACCGTCTCGTCTGCTGATGGAGTCCGACTGTTTTATCTTTTACTCACCTTTACCGGCAATTTCCACCTTCATCCTGATCGTCTACTAAAAGGTCGTATCCTCCGATCGTAGCTGATCGTAACCATTCAAGTTAACGTGTCAATTTACACCGACTTCTTTCCGCTCCTTTCCGGTGAAAAGTTTCGCCGCTCTCCACTATTACGCCGTCTGTCCAGGCGCTTTGCATTGTGGGTAACAGTAGGCGAAGCAGACTGGTCCGATCCATACTGTCAAATTTTCCAGAATCAGTACATCATCTGGGTATTTTTTAGCATACTGTATACGACATTTTGGACAATTTGGTACGAACTGCTAGGATAGTAGATGAACTAAAACTCTCATTTGCATCCTGACGTTTCCCTCACAGGGGAATCGAACCCCCAACTCTTCGGGTTTTACCTCCCTCCCTCCCTCCCTCCCTCCTTATTGAGCCACCCAGGACACATTTTCAATATTTCATCCTCTTCCAGATCCTCTGAACCCCCCTCCCTTCCTCCCTTCCTCCCTTCCTCCCTTCCTCCCTTCCTCCTCCCTCTCGGACCCCCTGCTGGGACTCTGCAGCTCACTCTGAGAGTCCCTAATAACCTCCAGCTCTCGTCTGTCCTCCGAAACAAAGCATCGCACTAATAAAACGTCCCAATTGAGCTGATTAAATACCAATAAAAACACACCGCTCGCCTCTCTGCCAGCCTGCACTCTAAATTGGATCGCCGCTCTAACCAGCAGCTCCTAATGAAAACCAGCGCCGCAGCCCGGCCTCGCTCGCCCGCCGTACAGTTTACCTCTCTCTCTCTCTCTCTGTAATGAAATCAAATGAATTGGACTGGAGGTTTCAGGGGAGACATGCTGGACCCCCTTATAGAATTAGACCCCAGCTATGTGTGTGTGTGTGTGTGTGTTTGTGTATTTGTACGAGTGTGTGTGTGTTTCAAGTATGACCACATGACCACTGACTTATGCTGTGTGTGTGTGTGTGTTTTTGTGTGCAATTGATGTAATATCCATATCCCTCTCTAGTGTGTGTGTCAGTGTGTGTGTGTTTGTGTGTGTGTGTGTGTGTGTGTGTGTGTGTGTGTGTGTGTGTGTGTGTGTGTGTGTGTGTGTGAGTTGTGACCAGGTAAAGTACAGCAGACAGAATCAGGACAGTCAACCTGCTGTTATCCCTCAGGACTCTCTCTCTCTCTCTCTCTCTCTCTCTCTCTCTCTCTCTCTCTCTCTCCGTTCAGGTGTCACTCACACCTGTCCAAATCCACTTTTTTTAACCGCCTCCGTTCGGCGAACTTTTCACCTCCGTCGTTTCCTGTAACTCGGTCAAAGCTGAAGTTAAATTTTCGTGTTTTTGTTTCATTTCTGGTCGAGACAGCTTTTCTGTTCTGATTTAAATGTCGTATTTCAAGGTGCTGCACTCCGAGAATTCGTCCTGAACTGTTTGTAATGAGAAAAAAAACTCTGCCAGTGGATTAAGAATAAAATTAAAACTCATTTTTCTATTTCAAGAAACTTTAAAAGTTCATTTTTCTCGACACGCTTGCAATTTTTTTACTCATAACAAGCAACTCAGGTCTTATTTTTGACATTTAGTCGTGCATGCGGCTGAAATTAAGACGAACAGACACTTTTAGAAAGAATAAAACAAAAACACACAAACTAAGATTTGAGGTTTTAACATTTCACAGGCCAGATTCCTCGGTCCGAGGTTGTTTTAAGGAGTTAAAGCTCCTGTGAGGAGTTTTTAGACTTGTCTAGAAATCATAGTAATGTTTTTTTTTATGACAAACGAAACTGTCTTTGACAAAACTGGTGATTTTATATTTAGGGAGTGTCAAGAAGCTAAAGAAACAGATGATTTAAACTGTTTCTATAAGATATTCACAATAAATCAGAGAGACTGTTTTGTCCACAAGGAGGCGCCAGATTCAGGCTAACTGAAAGTTCCTCATTGGAGCTTTAAAATGGTTTCATCAGATGTTAGGAGAGATTTTAGTGTCCGAGTCGATTCAGGAGATGCTCACAGCCAATCAGGAAGGAAGCAGGACAAAAGCGGCCATGTTTAATAAATATAAAAAAGTGTTTCTGGTTTTTGTGTTTTTATATTTTTCCAAAAGTAAAGACTGAGTGTTGAAGACGAGTCCTTTTCACACATGGACTCCTGACGTTTTCTGGATGATTTCGAGTCATCAACCCTAAAATCTTCAGGTGTTAGCCTTTTAAAACCTGCTGAATCTGTGTCATTTACAGGAAAATACCAGCAGCTGCAGTTAACAGTAATTTACAGTAAAACAATAAACTGTTTAAGTTACTGTAAATTCTACAGTAAAGGAACGTACCAATTGACAGTAAATTACTATAAAATACAGATCAATATTTAACTTCTATACAGAACTTTGCTGCTAAAATAACAGTTACTTTTAAAACAGTTTACAGTAATATGCTGTATAAAGTGTAGGTGGGCACCTGCTGCAGATACCCATGCTCTAATAGTCTAGAACTAGTGTAAACAGATGCTGCAACACACAACTAAATCTCAGTTTCTCATGGATATGTTCACTCTGGTTAATTTATGTCGTCCGTGTCTCATTTTCTCAGAGCACCCTGGAGTGGGTCAGGGTCCAGTCTGGGTTTCGATGGTCTTGATTCCCACTCTTTTTTTTTCAGGTATTGATTTCAGGCTCTAAACGGTTCATTTGTTTATAAACTTTATAAACTGGCGAAAAATAGTTTCAGTGTTTTTCTGTCAGTTTGGCAAAAAGTAAAATAATGAGACAAGTGAAGTGAGAGGCAAAGTTAGAGAGTGAGACAATATGAGAGAGAGAGAGAGAGAGAGAGAGAGGTGGGAGTTAGAGAGAGTGAGAGAGAGAGAAAGGGGAGGAGACACTGAGAGAGAGAGTGAATATGAGTTTATTGGGGAGTCTGATCACACACGGAGCTCCAGTGAGCGCAGAGAGGAGCAGAGAGGAGCTGCTGCTGAGCTCAGAGATACAGAAAAACACACAAACTCTTTTATTTACGCAAACTGCTCCGAGTCTGCGTCCTTTTATGGCGCAAACCTGCACTTCTCCATCTGTTTCCAAAATCAGCTTCCACTAAAATAAGACAGAAAAGAAACTGAGATAAATCAGACCTTCTATTTTATTTCTAATAAACTTTAAAATAAAGCTGAGGTCAGTTTGTTCCTCCGGTTGGAGATGTTTTTACGCACGGAGACAGAAAGAGGAGACTCTTTCTCGCAGGAAGGATTTTGGGTTAAAGTTTAAGAAAAATGTTGATTTCTGAAGTTTTTCTTCTTTTCTGCTCTCTGCTGGAAACTTCTGTAGGTTTTTCTCCACGTTTGAAGACTTGATGCTGTTTTAAAAAGAGCGAAGATGCAGAAATCTCAGACTCTTTATTCTCGACATTCTGAAATCTGAAGTCCAGTTCCGAGTGTTCAGCTCTATAAAGGCAGAGGAAATGTCCTCCTGCTGAACAAACAGCGCTATCACTCAATCTCTCTCTCCCTCTCTCTCTCTCTCTCTCTCTCGAGCGCAGAGGACACCGCACACACACACACACGCACACACATCCATGCACACGCAGGCGCTCGCCGACATACCGACACACACTTGGCTCTGCTGCTGCTGCTGCTGCTGCTCTTCTATCTCACCAATGTCATTGCCGAGCTCGTGCTGCTGAGAGCCGCGCGCTCCCCGAGTGAGTGACTGACCGACCGTCTGACTGCTCTCCTTTAGGTCCGTTGATCCCTCATCAGACACCCCCTCACCGACCCACCGGGAGGCACCATCAGGCGGGAGGAGAGCCGCGGGGACCGGGATGTGTTCCTCGGATGGAGAGCCGGCGGCGGTGCCCGAGTGAGAGCGGAGAGTCCGGAGCTCCTGCACCCGGAGAGAAGAGCTCAATCACGGCCGAGCTGTCCGTCCTCGGTCGGAGAAATTAGCAGCTCTTCCATCCTCTGATCCGCTGATCCCCGCGAGAGCCGGAGAGTGAGGGAAGAGGAGACCGTGCGCGCCGGAGACGCCGGGACCATGATCCGGAGCTGCACGCCGGCGCTCGGAGGTTCCCTCTGAAGGAGAGGAAGAAGAAAGAGTGAATGAAAAGGACTCTGATCCCTTCTTCCCCGGTAACATTCACTCATTAATCCAGTTCATTGATCCGCGGAGTGGAGACTGTTTGGTTTTTACGCGTCGGACTCACCGGGACCATGATCCGGACCTGCCTGAGAGTTTCATCTGAAGGTTCGAGAAGAAAAGAAGAATAAAAACAACAAAAAGACGAGTGCTGTTGGTCTTCCACTCTTGAATCGATACCTCCATTGATCCCAGAGATCAGTGATCAGTGAAGGAGAGAGAAAGAAGGAGAGGAAGAGGAGGAGAAAGAGGAGGTTTGGAAAGTCGCTCCAGAGACCATGATCAGGATCTTCCCGGATTTCAGCGTCCAGGTGACGGCCTCAGCGGGCGGGGGACCCGGGGCTGGAGGCGGAGGAGGAGGCGGTGGAGGCGGCGGGATGGTGGCCGGACCCCCGGTGGGTCGGGTTCCGGTGCCGGTCCCCGGAGCCACGAACGGGACCCCGCAGAGCGTTCAGGGGATCACCGCCTACCAGCAGAGGTACGTGGGTCTGCAGGGGAGGACCTGTGGAGTTAAAAATCAGAGTTTGAGTTTCTTCTTCTTCTTCTGCACTTTCAGATTTTAGTAAAATTTTTATGTTTTTGTCTCTAAAACTCTTTAAAAATCAAAGATGTCTTCATCAGGATTTCCACTTTTCTTCTTGTTTGTGTTTCTCTCTCATGTGTGGGCGTCTCTAACTCAGTGGACTCTTTTTAAATCTGTATTTTTTATATAAGATATCCAGAATTGATCACTGATTATCAGCTGATATTTGAGGTCAAAGTTTGAGAGTGTGTGAAAACGGTTGAGCGTTGACGGTTGACTCTGAAAATGTGGCCTTAAAATTCCCTAAAAGGTAAATTTAAAGATTTAAAGACACTTTGTTTGTGATTTGAGATCAACTTTTGCTCGGAGGCGTGAGTGAAGGAGGCGGATGAAGGAGGAAAGGTGCGGTGACCGAGTGGAAATAAGAGGTGGAGGTTATTCTCTGGAAAAACTGGGATGAGGTCGAGCGAATCCGGCGGAAACACTGGAGGTGAATTATGGGAAAAAGAGGAGTGTGTGAGGAGCGTTTGTTCATCCGTCTGTCCTTCCTTATTTCCTTATTTCCTTCACTCTTGATCTGAATGATCGCCTCCTCGTCCGTCCGCTCAGTGGGGTTGTTTTTTCCTAATCATCAGACGCCGTCGGGGGGTCAAACACACCCCACACACTCTTGGCTTATTACCCCTAAAACTCTCTGTATTATGGAGTGTGTAGCTGTGTGTGTGTGCGTCTGTGAGTGTGTGTTAGTGTGTTAGTGTGTGTGTGTGAAAGCGATGGGGAGCAAACACACCATAAATCACAGCCGGGGCCTCTCTGAGAGCGTCTCGGCCCTCCAGAGCAACAAATAGCAGCAGAGTGAAGGGCCGTATTGTTATTTAAAGCAGGGACCCCGGGCACAAACAGACCCCCACACCCCCCCCCCCATACATAACCGTGTGTGTGTGTCCGTTTGTGCGACGGTTACACACCTTTCCTGATTGTTTCCGAGACGAAAACTTTGAAAGCGAGCGTTTTCTCCTCCTCGTCCAGCGGCCCTCCTCTCTCCTCGCTCCTCTCTCCTCGCTCTACGTTTGTTATGCCCCCCCCCCCCAAACAGCTGGGAGCTAATATGTTTATACATTACGCTCCATTATCCACGTCGCCTCCGTTTGACTGCTCTCAGTAAGCAGAGCCGAGACGAGGAGAGGAAGGGGACCTCAGCGGGAGGAGAGAGAGCGAGAGAGCGAGCGCTTTGTTTCGGCGACGACACGCCGGCCTTCAAACACGAACGTGTCAGAGAGTCGAAACACTCGCAGATTAACCCGATTAAATCAAAACGCCGCCTGTAAAGATGGAGGAAACGCTCAGAGTGTGGGCGACTTTAAGAGGCGTCAGAGTCAGGGGTCAAACATGTGACCTTTCGGGTTTACAGACGCTTAAATCCGGCGCCGTTTCAGAAACTTTAGAACGCCATTTGCATCCACTCTTATTTTATTTATCATCTTATATTTTTATTAAATTCGTACCACAGACTGTCACAGGTGTGAGGAAGGACAGATAAACTTCCTTGAATCCTTGCATCCTTGCATCCTTGAGTCCTTGATGCTCCCGTTGACGGTTTCCTCAAAACGCCACGGCTCGCGTGCCGCCCCCGCAGGCGTTCAGCTCACGGTGACGGCCGCCGTTCTTCTTCTCTGCTCTTTATTTTCCGCCACAGCAGCGCCTGTAACCCCGTGTTTGTGTGGAGAATACCCAGCATGCCTTTGACCTTGACAGGTCATTGGTACAGAGAGAGGGGAGGCTCTTCCGAGCTCGCGGGGGCTGCAGCCCGGGGGTTAATCACACGGCACGGCGATTAGGTTACAATGAATTATACATTATAAAAAAAAAGAGGAATTTAAATGAATGTGGAGGAAGAGAAGATGGAGGAGGAGGCGGCGGCGGCGGCGAGGAGGGATAACCCGTCTGTGATGTTCCAGCTTCAAAGTCTGCAGGAGGAGACGCTCAAGTGGACGAATTCAAGGTTCAGGGTTCGATTTGGAGGATTCAAACAAACTCGAGAAGAGACGCAGAAGAGACGCAGAAGAGACGCAGAAGAGACGCAGAAGAGACGCCGCGGCGCCAAAAGTTCCTGATTTGGGGGTTTGAAGGGAGACATGAGCTGTGATGTCTTTATTATGACACTAAAGGGGGAGAAAAGGGGGGAGGAGGGTGGATTACAGGGCAGCCATCCAAATAAATCACCCGTCAGCTCCACGCCACTGTGTGTGTTTTTACTGTTATTATGATTTCAGTGTGTGTGTGTGTGTGCGTGTGTGTGAGTGTGTGAGGGTTAAAAATTGGATAATAGCCCCGCGGTGCAACCTGTAATACAGGGAGAGAGGGGGAATTAAATAAAAAAATAAAACACACACTCACACACACACACACACACACACACACACACACACACACACACACACTCACACACACACACACACACACACAAACTGACTCCAACTGCATCTGAGTGGCGTTGTTGCGCCGGGGCTGGAGAAAATACCGGAGATGTGTGGTGTCCCTTTTTCCCTGACAGCAGAAGCCGGAGGAGGGAAAAATGCGCCGTGAAAGCGCAGAGACTCTGACCGAGCAGCGACGCTCCACCGCGGGGATTTTAGCGCGGATATAGGCGCCGCAGCAGCGCGAGAATGTAAAGATTGGACGCGCCTGTTTGGCGTTTTTTTTCCTCCTTCTTCTTCTTCCTCTGGAGCGCATGCAGGAAATCCTTCTGTAGTGAGAGGAGAGAGAGAGAGAGAGAGAAAGAGAGAGAGAGAGGAGGAGACAGCGGGATCTGACAGGCATCCACCCCGGGTTCCCCCTCACTCCGCGCGGCATGCCTCAGCTGCTGCAGCCCGGTCGTCCTCGCCGCCTCCTTCGCCTCCACCGCCCGTTGTTTCCACGCTGCTGAGCGGCGGCGGCGGCGGCGGAGAGAGACAAGCACGAGAGAGACGCACAGCACGCACACACGCACGGCTCAAACACACACACACACACACAAGCTTACACACGCTGACACGTTCACACACACACACACACACACACACACGGACATGGCTTTGTCTTAACACACCGACCATGACGCATTGCTGTCAGGGCGCAGCGCACCGCCGCGGCTCCGCGTACACGTCAACCTGAGGAGAGCGGCGGAGAGGAGCGGAAAGTCACAAACACTGAATTGTTGCAGGAAGATGGCGCCCACCAAGCCGAGCATCCAGCAGGACCCGACGCGGAGAGAACGGTAACGGGGCTTGGATTTTTGCTCCTGCACACACACTCCTCCTCCTCCTCCTTCTCCTCCTCCTCCCGCTCCTCCTGCATGTTTACAGCCGCACACAGGCGGCTCTGAGCGGAGCGGCAGCCCGGCGGCTGACCGGCTGTTCCGCGTCGCTTTGCGTTTTATTCAGAGTCTGGAGGCGTCAGAGGAGGGACGCTGCTGCTCCCCTTTCCAGAGGAGAGTGTGGAGGTGTGCGTGCCCGCGCGCGTGCGTGCGTGCATGTGACCGCGCGCACGCGTATGTGTGTGTGTGTGTATGAGATGTGCAGGATTGTGGTAACAGGTCGGTGTTGTGACTGTGTTCTCTCTGCTGTTGCTGTTGCTGCCATGTGTGTGTCTGTGTGTGTGTTTTTCTCAGTGTGTGTGTGTGTATCAGTGTGTGTCTACCTGTATGTTGACGCTCCGAGCAGGAGAGGTGTGTGAGCGTCGAGGAAAACAGGAATCCTGACACACGTCTGTTGGCCAGTGTGTGTCCGTGTGTGTTTGTGTGTGTTTTAATGGAAGTTCTCACGTGCACGGACGTACCTGGGGTCACCTGAGCAGGTCACACCGATCACACCTGTTCATGACCTCAGAGCTGAGATTGTTAAGGTGGATTTAAGGTGGAAATTTGAGTTCTTGAGGTTGTTTTTTTAACGTTTGATTTTCTCTCATGACTGATCAACTAGTGGATTTTACATCTATACCTGTCTCTTCTATTCTATTCTATTCTATTCTATTCACATCTATTCTATTCTATTCTATACTCACCTATCTGCACAGGTACACCTTCACGTCTCCCTCACCTGTTGATGTCACAGTCTGGAAAATGAAATGCTCACCTGTTGATGAGTGCGGCGTGTTTGGCGTCCTCATCTGATGCTTCATGTGTGGGTTTTAGAGAGGCCCCCCAGTGACCTCTGACCCCTCTGTTTGGCCTTATTGCGCCCTAACAGTCTGCAGATCTCCTCTGTGTCGTTGTGTGGAGGTTTGTGGAGATCATATCTGTGTTTTTAGACTGACGTTGTTACGCTGTTGTTTCTGTTCGTCTGATTCGTTCAGAGAAGCTGCAGAATTCTCACCTGATCTCTGATTTATTGTATTTTTGTGACATACATGTGAACGTCTGGGGTTATAATTTAGTAAGATGCTTCTTCTGTGTCTCTAAATTCAGATTATAACACGTTATAATCCTGCAGGTTGATTTAAAGATGCATTTTCCTCCCTCACCTGTTGAGGTTGTGCAGACGCTTCATTCCTGCTCGGCTTTCTCCTCTTTTTTTTCTGATGATTTTGTTGAATCTTTTTATTTTTGTTATTTTTCTGGACTGTTTTTTTTGTCACATTTTTGTCACCTACT